CACAGTCCATCACGTACTGAGACATTGCTTCGGTAGGCAGTATGGGAATGGACGTGCTTAGTCTGCGCAGCCATGAATGCAGTCTTGTGAGCGACTGCGTCCATTAAGCGACTTACCTCGTGAAATTTTGTCCGATATTCTGAAATGGGTTTTATATTAGAAGGCATTACTTCATTTGAGTTTATATATTTATTTATATTTATTTAGCTTCAGCTTTCGTATCATCTTCCGCAATGAGATGTTAACTGTTTGTTGCATTCAAAAAGGCTGGACTTAAATAGGCTCACCAATTTTAGCAGAAGGGTTCATTGGCCTGACGTTTCAAACGCGTGCTCTAACCACCTGCAACTGTCTTAGATTATGCGAGACCTTGTTCCGGCTATTGGGTTTTCTTGTGAACTGCTTCCAGAAGCTCGCCTATTAGCTTTAATCTCACTTCGCTTAGTTCCAAAGGGAAGACTTTGACGAAAGTTGTCAGCTGACACTCTAACACTCGAGGCATTCACTTGAGTGTCATATCTTTGCAGCAAAACGAATCTGGACTTTTACATCTCACTGTTGTCTCCTATATAGTGGCGGGGTCTCCGACGATGTCTACTTAAAACTCTGCGGAAACAACGTTCGTGTCACTTCCTATCGCCTCCATGATGTTGACGTGCCTCCAATCCTGGCGGCCATCTGCAGTGTGCCAATCATTACGATGCTCGATCTACGCTACAACCGCCTCACCGATGAGGGTGCTGTTACCATTGGCTCATTTCTGAAGGTTAGTACGAGGGGAATTGTGCTCCTCACATAGTAATTTGCTTCGTCGACGTGCCAGACATGAAAGAAATCGCTACTGTGAAGACAACAACAATAAATATGGCAGATAGAGAAGGAGAAGGTAGCTCGATTACCGGAACCATTATTTTACTGAGCGTTCGGGCGCTTACTGGAGTCCACCGTCGAGGATAGAAACGCGTCAACGAAAGAAAAATAACAGTTATAGGAGGCGTGGACCAATCAACGGTAAAAGGGAGGGGGGGACGGGGAGGAGGGCAATCAATCACCAGTGCCATCAGTCTGGAGAAGGCTGGGCAGGGCGATGTAAACCGGCGCCAGATCGATAAATCAATTGACTGAGTGCTCATCCCAGGCGCAGGCTTCAATTAATTCGCGGCGGGGTGACACATTATCGCACGCTTTATCGCATCTACGAGACCGGTCACGATTTATACTTTGCAGCTGCGAGGATAATTGCCCAGGCCAGCAGCAAGACGGGCCGAGAACTTATTGAAGTCTGGAACGGAACGAAGCTATCTACGAGCAAATGGAGGGCACGCCAGTGGGTTCGCCTATTTCCGGACTCATAGCAGAGGTGGTTCTGCAACGTTTGAAGTCTCGGGGGCAAAAGTAGCTTATGTAGCCCCACTAATATACCCGTAATCCCAGCCTTTTTTTCCTGCCGAAGCGGTGGTTATAGAGTTTTGTAGGGTGGGAAAAAAGGATAGGCAGAGAAAGAAATTTTTAGAAGTGTAAAGTGAAAAAAAATGTAGTCGAAGTTTTTTCCCGCGGCCGCTGGGAGCAGGTTGTTCCGCATGTAAATTGAAGGTATGCGCGGCGCTTCGCGCCGCGGACTATGCTAATCTGACTCCAGAACAGCAAGTTGGACCACAGGTAAGTTGAAATAGACGACCTCCCAACCACTATTTCAATTTGTCGGGAAATTCAAGAAACCTGCAACTTGATAATCGGGTTTTTCCGCAACAAGTTAAATGATAATACAGATTAGGAGAATCTACAGATATACATCAACAACACTTCTAAATACAGTAAAATAAAAATGCATTTAGTATTTATTAAATTATATTCCACTGCGTGTTCCAATCCCCCATCCATAAAACTCTATAACCACCGTTGTAAGAAAACATGCAGGTTGTAGGGATTAATGAATGGGGCTGCATAAGCTATTGTTGCCGTCGCGGGTTTTCCAACACCACCGACCGAAATACTAGGCTCGGTATTTGGACGACACCTTCGTCGTTATTGAGCGGGATCAGGTGCTGACATTCAAGGAGAAACGCCGTTTTCTCGGACATTCAATTTACGATGGAGGAAGAAAAGAAAAACCAGCTGGCCTTCCTGGATGTCCTCGTTTGCCGCAAAGTCGGTGGTGGCCTAAAAACCAAGGTGTTCAGGAAAGCAATCAACACTACTTAAGTCCTGAAATACAGCAGCAACCAACTTATCGGTCACAAACGCAGCTGCGTAAGAGCACTTTACCGACGCCGTGAGACTCATTTCAGCGAAGTGGAAGACAAAGTTGCTGAATAAGAGCATCATCAACGGGTACTGAGAGCGAATGTTTACCCGCGCAGTTTTGTCAACCAATGCATACGCAAACGAGAGAAGAAGCCAAATGCAACTGGCCCAAAAGTTTGGCGAGCTCTTCCGTACGGGAAGAATGAATCGGAAGCGGTCAGCCGCCTACTCACCCCGCTTGGAGTTAGAGTTGCGCACAAGCCAGAAGTAACCATTAGGTGCCGGGTCATGCGACCGAAAGACCCACTGCAGAAAACGGTTAGAGTTGTTTACCGAATCTCGTGCAGTTGTGGACAAAGCAACTACGTCGAAGGAACCGGGAGAGTACTCCTGGGCCCCGGATGAGAACTCTGTCAATCGATTTATCGATTTGGCGCCGGCATCTCCAGACTGATGGCACTGGTGATTGATTGTCCCCCTCCCTCTTTACCATCGGTTGAACCCTGCCTCCTCTAACTGTTGCGTGTCTTTCATTGACGCCCTTTATCCCCGACGATGGACACCAGAAAGAGACCGAAAGCTCAGACTATTAAAATAATGATTCTGGCGATCGAAAGGCCTTTTCCTTTTCTATCTACACACATACTTGGGATGCAAACATCTGCCTCAATTCATAAATATGGCAGTCACACAAAGGTGACCTTCACAGAAAGGGCTCACGTAACCTATGGAGAATGGGATAAAATGTTTGTTAACTTGAGGCCCCTAGTTGTAAGGGTTGAACTCCATCTCCTGGCCTGGATAACTGACGGTACCTGTAGAGGGACCATCTGTTATCTAGCGGAGTTTACCTGATAAACAATTAATTACCGGTGATGCATTGGCTTATCTTTGCATTGAAGTTACGACTGTTTTTTTCCCAATGGTTTGCTTTTCCGACAGATCGGCTTTCAACTTCTCCATTTCCGCTTCTTCACACGCTTTTTTCT